ACTGAGTTCAGTGGAACTGACTCACTTTGGATCTTGAGCCAGCTGTCAGCCTAACCAATCTGTCAGGAAACTGACACTGGAGCCAGAGGCGGAGGCTAGGCTCCCAAGTGATGCTGGAGAAGGGCCCAGCAGGGAGAGAGGCAGCTCATCAGCTGGGGAAGGAAATCAGCGTAACACCAGGGATAAAGGGGGGCAGATGGGGGAATCAGCGAGGGGGCTCCAGGACTCCTCGCTGGAGACTGGCGGGGAGAGCACGGGTCCTCCGCTACCCACACCCTCCCTGAGCAGAAGACTTCCGCGCAGGGAGAGTAGGAGGAGACTTGGCGTCAAACAGCTTTTATGCTGGAAAAGGTTTAAGAGACGCCCACTGACGGATTCTGCTAGCGACTGAGACAGCCATGAAGTGAAGGGCTGTCCGGACAGGAAAGGTTTAACCAGGCAACCTAGCCAGGAGTGGCGGCAACTTACGCACGAGCAACCCCTATTCTTACTACACAATCCCACAAGGTTGCTGTGAGATTAGAAATGGGCAGGAGGCGAACCATGTACAATGGCAGGCATAAAATGTAAGCAATATTCAGAGGCATACTTAGCTGTTATGAAGTTAATTCATTGATAGACCTGTGCTCCATAAATTTGTCCTAAAGAAAGTGGCCATCACTATTCCCAGTGACAAGGAGGTTGACAAACCTATTATGTCTTGAATAAAGAAGTACTTTCTTTTGGCTATTGTGATGGGGCAGGTTGATATAAGACAGGAGTGGAGAACTTGCGGTTCTGCAGAAGCTGTTAGACTCTGACTCCCATCAACCGCAGCAAGCATGACCAGTGGTCAGGGATGATGGGAGTTGGAGTCCAACAACATACGGAAGGCCACAAGTTCCTCACATCTGACCTAAAAAGAGAGTAAAGTCATATCTACACTACACTAGCTCATCTTTATTATTACTTCATACTTTCCAGGGCTGAGTCACGGCACTGATTTTAAAAATGTTCTGAAGTTAAGCTTTGGCAATACTGGCTCAAATTAAACCCTTTCCAGAGGTCTTAGCACATTCTGTTGTTATGTTCTGATGGTTATTCTATAAATAGTCCTAAACAGTACATTAACTCAAGCTTATGTAAAATTTAAATGAAGTAACTCACGCCAAAATCTCCCTTTAGCTACATGGCTCTTGGATAACCTCTCCATCATATAAGTCATGTGTTTATAATATTTGAATATTAGTAGATGATTATACTGATTGTTCTTTGCCCTTAGTCGTTGCCAATCAAAGTGATAACTACTCAGCTTCTTTAATTTTTCTTTTATGTCAGAGCTTTCTTTTTAAAAAATGATTTATGTTTTTATACAGGCCTCCTCTGAGCTGGGCATCATTATTTTTAAGAATGAGGTGGCTACATTAGTGCTTATTATACAAAGCAGAGGTTCTAATCAACCAGGGCCCTCTTAAAAGGCTATGCCCACACTGTCTGATTCACAGCCAATTCTGTGCTATGAATATTCCATAAACAGAAAGCAAGACTGTGGGCAGGTTAGTCAGCAAATGTGGGTTATCATCATACATATTGCAAAAAAAAAAAAGAGGGGGGAAGGAGAATGGTATTTTCCACACTCAACTGCTATCCTGTCCAGCTTTCACAGAAAAGCAATGAAACTAATGATGGTTGGGATTGCCCTTTGATCATTGTTGCGTATAGTTTTGTTTTGTTTTGTTTTGTTTTTAAAACTAAAAAGAAAAAAGAAACTAAGGATGGAGGAGAAATTTGATTCACATCACATTTAAGGGTCAAACTACCTAATTCACAATTTCTGAAACAATATGTGAACCAAATCACAACCATCCTTTGAAATTTGCATTCCTCTGAATTTTGCAATGCAGTTCTCCAGCTAAGTAATTTATACAAAAATGCATATACTAGGGCAAATTAATGATAAAGTGTGCATAACATAACATAGTGAAAATAATACGCCAAAAATCCACTACCAAAAACTTCTTTGCAAAACTGTGTTTCTGAGTATTCAAACATTTGTATACAGCCCACTTACACAGGGGGTTATGTTCTAGGCCCCTGCACGCGTAACTGAAATCACGTAAACTGGGGAGACCATATAAAAGGCCTCCAAACACCCATCCCCCCCCCCGCTCTCCAGCTCTCTCTCCCACTCTCTCCCCAATCCAGACCAAAATATCTGTAGTTGAAGCTATGGGGCTGCCTGAAGAATGAGCAAGAAAGTTGCTGCTGTGCTACCCCGCATGTCAGCTGTTAGGCGGGGAGGCTGAGCAGCCAAAACAAAGCCACACTGCACCTCAGGTCTCTTTGGGTCTTCCTCTGCCCTCACTGATGTCCTCTTTGGGCTCTGGGGAGGGTCTCCTTGCGAGCTATGAGGACTCTCCAACCCTCTCCCACCATTTCTGGATTTGAAAAAAAATTACTTATTTATTTTCCTAGCGTCACACATATATGTGGTTGCACACGAGTCAATCATGTGTAAGTGGGAGGGTGCCTGTATTTGGTAAAATATCCTGATGAATTCTCAGAAGGACTGTTTTGGCGGGGGGAGGGGGCGGAATCTGCAAACTGATGCAGAAATGTGAGACCTGAATTCAAGATTGGAAAAATGAGAAACTGAGAGAAACCAATATTGACAGGTTCATCTATTGTTAAGAAGAAGCTAGGGGGCTCTTTTTAGCTGTGTGGATGTACAGAAAGTTGTTGTATGCAGGACCTGGTAGCAGTCTTTCTTATCCTGGATTTAACTTGCCCCCCACTAAGCAGTAGGTGCCAAGTTCCCTGACAGGCCTTGGTAAGAGGAAACAGACCCCTGTCAGGTTTGTTTCCTGCTGCTCACATCAGGTTGCCTCACTTGTCAAACATGGAGATGACAACTTCCTCCTGACCTTTGACCTCACCCTCATTTTATACCCACTCAGATAGCATTCCATCTGCCCACATGCACTACCTTCTGCTCTCTCTTTCACTGTCCACAGAACTGCTCACAGCAAAGCTCCAGCTTCATTGAGGCAGATCACAGGATCTCCACAGGACCATCAGTCTGCAACTACATTGCCAGTTCCTCCCTCTTCTGACTACACTGAAACACATATTTCACAAGCACTTCAGATCAACCAACATTCCAGAGAGTATGTTACATGGCAATCCTAACTACATCTACACAGAAGTCCCATTGAATTTGGTGGGGTTTACTTTCAGGTAAATGGGGCTAGGCTTGTCACCTATGTCAGGAATGCTGAGCAAGGGTTGGTCATCTCTCACTATCTTGATACGATGTGCTGTCCACAAAGCACACCAACATGCATCAACAAATACAGATCACTCGAGTTCGGTGAAAAACTGTTTTTATGCAGAAGAGGCCACGTTGTGCCTTCCATGCCTTCTGATGAGCAACTGGACATTTATAATGCAGATTCTTTGCAGTTGTAAACACAGAAATATAATTATTTTCTACAAAGCTATAATGTATAATGTTGATTTAAAATGCCACATTATTAACTTTCTACAGACATCAGGGTGCGGCTACTGAGGGAATATTTCATGCGGAGGAACAAAACTAATTTGCATGAATTAATTGCCTGCAATTAACATAAGTTGCAAATTGTTTTCATGAACTTAGCTGAGGCCAAAACTACAATGTGTTCTCTATGTGATGTGAAAATGTGGCATCAGCCCTTGGGGGAAAATGGAAGAAAAATCCTGAGAGATTAAAAATAACACCAATAGATTAGGAAATTATTTTACTGGCTTCACAGTTCAGAGTGTAAGCCTGTGGGTAGCATTTGTTCTTTTAATTCAATTGTTGTGCTGCACCGAGTGCCGAAGCACTTTCCAAATAAGAAGAGCTACAGCAATCACTACTCTAATAATTCCTGTACATTGCAACCCCTCTTTGGAAACCCCTTAGGTTTTCAATTTTTGAAACAAAATCTTTACAACATCAAGGCCTGAAAATGTCCTGTTACAAACAGAATGACCACTGGAATTGTCACAATTCTAACACAAATATCTGAGTTTCCTTGTATGTGCCTTGAAAGCTGGATCCTCTGCCATTCCTACTGCATACATCAATAGCAGCAGGCGGGAGGGGGTACCATTGCACACCTGGCCTCCCATCAGCTGCTTACTGGAAGGGACAAGGTTGGATTGGCTCTGGTGATGCAACTGACCTCCTCGCTGCCTCACCCTCCTTCCCCAAACCTAAAAGCAGAAGTAGCTCCACTGAAAGAAAGCTGATGTTGCAGCTCCACCCAACAGAGTGAATCACTTTGGCTATACAAGATGCTATACAAAAGACAAGACTGCCACACAACAGCAGCGGTACATGCAGGCTTTGAGCGGCAGGTTGTCAGTACAAACATCTGAGGTCTGGCACAGCTGCCTTTTAGGTTATAACCCTGCTCAATATTATGTGTAGCTGATTCCTCTGTGACAGTTCAGAGAGCCTCATTTGTGCCCAGACATTTGCCTTTTCTATTTTGATCTATTCTTTAGCACAGTTTCAGATTAAAAGGAGAGTTCCTGCCCCTGCTGCCCCTTGAGAGGGTTCCTTGAGCTCCATCCGTACAGGGCTCACCGGATTCCCTTGTACCTCTGTAGAAACGGGCTGTGCTTGTGTGTCTCTTAATTAAGCTGGAAAGACTGGCAAATGGATGTATTTGATTTGAGCGGTGGGTGAAGTGCCTGCGCTGTCCCCAGAGGCTGTATTAAACTAAACCAAATAGACTAAGGATTCAGTTAGCTAATGAGGGGAGAAATGAGACCGAAAGAGAGGAAGATAGTGGGAGCGGAGAGTTGGCAAAAACAGGAACATGCACACACAGAGAGATCAGCTGAATGGAGCATAAATGGAGGAGGACAAGGAAAGGGACAGAAATAAAAGGGAGAAAAAGGTAGGAAGCTGTGTTGGTTTGTCTAGATCAGTATTGTTACTAGCAGCGCTTCTCCATGTTTTCAGATAGGGAATCTCTCCCAGCCCTACAAGGAGATGCCAGGAATTGAACTTGGAACTTTCTGCATACAAAGCAGTTACTCTACCACTAGGCTATGGCCCTTCCCCAAAAGAGAGAGCAGGAACTGAAAGGGAGATATAGAACAAGGAAATGACTGTGTGCAGAAGCAAAAGGAGGTGGAATGCACTTCAGATGGTTACTTCACCTATTAATCCCCCTCCCCATTCATTCATTTAGTGAACACAGACACTTGTTGCCCGGTGGGCTTACCAGCTATTTCTGCCCCAAAACCACAGTGAGGTAACACCTTTATTAGGAACCCACCCAAACGTCACAGAGTTGTTTCCAGGACTGAGAACAAATTGATTAACCGCTTTATTTCATTTTTGTTTAAATGGGGGTATGTCTATTATTTTTTCTTGATCCCAGCAGTTCTTGGTACAACCTGTAATCTGCAAAACACTTACCAGAGGCTAATATGCAATTACACCACCTTAAAAGACTGTTACAAACTGCAGACTCTGGGGCTTTAGCATCAAGAACTTTTTTTTTTTATTATTTTTTACTACACTCACCCAACAAATAATTTTCTAAATATCCAGTCTGAAGATCTTTGGAGGAACTCAAAAGCTTGCTCATGTCTTTGTGACATATTGGTTTGGCCTAACAAATGTAGTATTCTAGCATGGCTTTAGCATCTCCCCTGCCTTGCAATGAGCCAGCAAAGCTACTTATGTTTTCTATAGGCTACATCTTCCTCAGCCAACCTAGAGCAAATCTCTCCCATTCCATTTGCATAGGTGCCAGATTTGCATAGGTGCCGTTTGGTCTTCAGACCCTGGCCTCAGTTCACAGGAGCACTATTGCTACTGCATAGCCTCCAATTGGGTTTTCCTCCCATACTTTCTTGTGGGGTGGGGAAGATGTGCAAGCCTAGTATAGAGCTGTGCACAAGATATAATCATAGAAGCTCTAAGGGAACATGGCAGATACAGGTGCCTTGTCCAGGTGCTGCTTGATTATATACGTAGGTCCTTAAATGACGAACTATCTACCAGCTCCTAGGCCCCCCCAAATTCCCTACAGAAAGAGTAAACTCACTTGAACATTGTTGTGTTGATGCCCCAAAAATCACCACATGCTAGATAACAGCCATACTTTTCAGGTACACAGTATCACCTCAGACTGCTAAGTTAATTTATTGTTCACTGCCCACCAGTCTAGCTACCTGTTCATGGTGCTCAATGCCCATGCTGATGGTGTTCACAAGGATGGCGATCATGATCCCACGGTTGAAGTATTTGCTCTCCACAATTCCCCTCAGTTTAACCCTGACTTCTTGCCACACGTCACTCCAGAGAGCCAGCTGTCCACCTTCCTCTCCATCCTCCTCCTCTTTCTCCAGGTCTGTAGTCCCGGTGCTTTCTTTTCTTCCATCTCCCTCCTCTTCACTGGGTCCTCTTCCCTCTTCCTGATCTGAATCGGCGCTCTCAAGCACAGAGAGTCTCCGGGCTGCTTCCCGCTGGGCCTTGTGACATCTTGGGCAGTTGCTGGGGTCAGACGTCAAAGTCATGGCAATCGGTTGGCCAAGGCCTTGTGGCACATAATCAACACAGTTGTGCTTTCGGCAACGTCCTGGGGAATAATAAATACAGGGATCAAATTTAAGGGGAAAGCAGTGCTACATTTCCGCATCTGTTAGGCAAAACAGGTCCTAAACTGTATTGCTAGCCATTTTAAGCATGAAGGAAATTAAGCCCTGGAACCGTCTGCCAAGGGAAGTGTTAGGCTCATCATCACCAAGAGACTTTAATGGAGATTGTTTGTCTCTCAGAGACATGCTCTACTTCAGCTACAATAGATTAGACTCAATTGTGTTCAGCTCTGTAGTAGGGGTAGGATAATTCTCCAGACTGCAGGAATCACTAAATAAGAGGCCATGGCATGTGTTATCTCAGAGGTGAAAAAAAGAAAAAATATCAAAGCTTCTTCTGTCCTTCAGATCTATGATCCCCTAGTTATCACTTAAATAAATCGTTTTACTGGCAGAACGTATGGCTGAAAAGGTCCTTGCCTGTGTTCATCAGAACTGCTGAGTTTTTACTTAATGGCAGTGTTACCTGTTATATCTGTAGAAAGAACAACAACATGAAGAGAAAGTATAAAACAGTCCATTGTTGCAAACTTGCTCAAAAAGTTATGCTGATTTCAAGCTAGAAGCACAGACTTGTTTGCCCCTCTGTTCCTCACCGCATGAAAAGTTAGCAGAAACAGGCGAGAATGCACAACTTCATGCTCCTACAGGTCATGCCACACTTTTTAAAAAAGATGTAAAGCTAAGATACTTTATACCTGAATATGCAAAGTGTGAAGGCAACCAGTTCATCAGAAGCACAAGTAAGGAAACTAGGCTTGACTGCAACTTCCTGCTGAGTGTGCAGGTTCATCCTGGCAAAGTGGAGCAAAACTGGACAGGCTGATCTGATTTGACAAGCTGAGGAAACCTCTTTAGCTTGCATTGGCAGTTGGGCTGTTCTTATAACCAAAGTAATCTTGTGGGATCCAGAGAGGGGTCAAAGTTGAGTGGCAGAGCACGTGCTTTGCATGTAAACGTCCCCCGGCACCTCTCAATAATAGGTAACATTGAGCTAGATGGATCAATGGCATGACTCAGGGCCAAACTAGTTGAGACATAAAATGCATTTGTTAAAAATACAGTTTGCTCCTTTGAAGCTGCTGTATGCTTTGATACTGGCAACAACATGGGATTTCCTCCCAATACATATATCAGCTTCAGAGGTGGGTTTGCTTTTTGTTTTTTTAAACTCAGGACCACAGTAGGGGAGGAAAGAATTAAATTTCCCCTTCCTGTGTTCTGCAATCCCAATAAATATCAGTTGCTATTAAAAATACATGTACAGTATATTACTGTAAATAATTATTTAGCATTGCATCCAATTTGGCCCTCAGTATAAGGTAGCTTCATATGATCAAGCAGTAACTAAGAGACCCCCCCCCCCATTTATTTATCAAATCCAACAGTCTTTAGATATTCAGCTACAGGGAGTGGCATTGAAAGACAGATGCAGTTATCTGAGAAATGTGCCTTTAGTTTCCAGTAGTGATTGGTGAGCTCCTTATAGCTTGATTTGGAAAGGGTTTGGGGTAAAACGTTCTCCTCATGTCAGAAAAGTCCTTCCCCCCACTCCAAGCCCATTCCAAAGTTTCGGCTGAATCACACGGATGATGATGTCATCAGAAACATAATTGGGTTTGAAGGCCTCAGCCTCCAAATAAACACCCCCCCATGTCCCCTTCTTTTCTCCACAAACTTATGAATGCGTCTCAAGATGGCACAACTCAATTGCTGCCTCAGTTGGCACCATGGAGTTTGGGTTGGAAAGGGAAGTGGGCAGCTGTGGTGGTTTGTGGAGAGGCCTGGTACCAGGATGAACTCATTAAAACCAGGCCCAAACTTTGGTTAGGGTTTGATGTTTGAGTTTGATTCACAAAGGGCTTAGGAAGCCAAAACCAGAGTTTGCTATTCCGAACTCACTCCCTTATGAATCTCAGCACTATTATTATTCCTAACATACCGCCGTAAAAGTGTGCAAGTTTTCTTTTAGAATGAGGACAGAACATCAGAGCAGGAGTGGTCATGCAGAAAGAAATCATCACCTCTAGGTGATAAAATGCTCTCTCATCATTAGAAAGCCAGAGATTGCAGGTCTGGAAGAAAAAGCGATTTCTTTGCTTTATCCTCTTCCCTGCTAAATTCACCTTGATGGAAAGTTAAGCACTAAAATGTAGCTCTGAATGTTGCTGTTCTCAGGCTAGAAATGCATGTTCAAGTACAGCATTTACCTACAGCCTGAGTTCCTTTACTGTTAGGTGCTCCCGGGTCCACAGATGGGCTTACCGCCAAGGCAGAGGCATTCCTTTTGCAATGTCATCTTGGAATGAATCCTTCAGGAAGCCCAGAGGTGTGATGCCATAGACAAGAAAGGATCAGGAGGCCAACAGGAAAGGGAGCCCAGCAATGGCAGGAAAGATGGGTATGTAAGAATCCCAGTAAAGGGTGGTTCATTAGTTGGCATGGTTGGAGAGCTGTATTTCTGGAGCCAGTTAAGGCCCAGGATAGCCCAAGAATTCAAGTAACATCTGAGTGATGTGGCATCATTTTAAAATATTAAATTACATTTTAAAAATCTCTGAGACTCAACTGTGCTGAAGCCACTGAAGCTATCAGTAGAAAGAACTGTTGGTTACTGCAAACTTTTGGGTGCCCTCCAGGATAATTTTACAAGACCATGGCTTGCTTTCCATGCCACAAATGATTTAAAATGTATTTTTTATATTCAACAAATAAGCCGTTCAAAATGTCCTCCTGCGTAGATTTTGCCACTGAGCTTTACTGCAGGTCTGTCCTCCTTAAAAATGCTAGATTACCTCGGTTTTAATGGTCAGTAAAGTCTAATCCTCTTTATTGTAAAACCAGTTTCTGCAAATGTGTTTCCATTTGCCTGCCTCATATTATCTTAAAGCAATTTTTCTGACCTACAAAAGGGGCTATTTTTCTCAACCTGAAGATCTGATGCACCCTAGATTAAATCAATGAACAAATCTCTCACCAACATATTCTACTCAGAGCTTGTCCAGTGTACTGCCTTCTCCTCTATTGCCACTACGTAAGAGTTTTCCATTAGCATTGCCATCTCTGTACCTACCACACAGTGTTTTCTATTAGCATAGTGGGTCATGTGTTTTAAGCACTCTGATTCATATGTATGGTCTTATCAATCACTTATTTCCTCTCTCTTCCCCTACCACCATCATTCTGCTGACTTGGCCTCACAAATCTTACTGTATTGCCTCTGGTCTTTCCCATTCATGCTCCTCTTGGCAGCGCTCGGCTCCGTTCGGCCCAGGCGCCGATCCTGCAGGCTGTTGTAGAAGCCAAGGGTGCGGCGCTTGGCCTTGCGTACAATATGGCAGACGTATTGGAAGATTTCTTCATAGCAGTCTCCTGGTTCCATGTAGCTGGCCACGGTGCTGGAGGACAGGTACCGTGCTCGCTGCTCCTGCATCAGTTGGTGCTCTC